ACTGATCAGTACTGAGAACTCATCATCACTCATTCATCCTTTACATCAGTGGTTCCCAACCTTTTTCTGTCACTGAGTAAACTGATGACCCCCGACTGAGGGACATATTTTATACATATTTCATATTATATCCAACCTGTACAATGAACCCAAATATTGAACTCAGTAACTGCAAGAAGTTGAAGTTGATTCTGATGAATTCTGAGCAGATTATTTCCTGTTGAGGGAACTTTTTCTACAGTTTGTCTGTGTTATGTATCTTTTATCATTTTAACAATCATAAATACTTAATATGCTTCTTTTTGGACAAATTCAGTGTTTTCTTGTCCCTGATGTTTGGTCATTGATCTATTAGACAGTTTACTTTACATTGACTTTTCTTCACAGAAGTGAACCAGATGCTGAGATATAGGCCGACCTACAGACCCCCTATGAAGCTATGGTGACCACTAGTGGGGGTCCCGACCCTCAGGTTGGGAACCACTGATTTACATCATTTCTGCTGTAAAACTATCAGCTGCTTCTCCACTGATTGGCTGCTTCTCTCTGTTTCCTCTCAGTGTCAGTTGAATCCCTTTGTCTTGTTGGACTGTTGCTCAGACTAAAGAAGCAGTTAGAAAACATGACTGTGAACTCTGGGAACTACTGATGGCCTTTTCTCATCACTGTCACACATTGCAAACTAATCAATACATGGATCAATAGTGGTTTGTTATTGGCCAGAGGAGATGCTGCTGGTTCTCATTGGTCAGTGTTGAGGAAGAATGAGAGCAGAAAGCTGCCATCAGCTGCTCTACTTCTACTATCAGTCCACTAGATGGCCTCATGGAGCTGCATTTATCTGACAGCTTTACTTCCTGCTTACTTTTCAAACATGGGATCAGTTTATAAAATAGAATTCATTATTTTACATTCAAGCAGCCAAAAGTATTTGAAGTAGTTCATATTGGCTCCACCTGCAGCAACTCCAACATTAAAGTAGTGATTACATGTTAATGCATCAATAATAATCATCCACTAATATAATAATACAACACTGACAGAGGCCATTCTGTACACTGACTACTTTCACTTTACATACTTCAACTACATTGATAAGGTGAGCTCATAAAGACAGACAGAAATCATACAGTGAGTACTCTGAGTACTGCCAGTGAGTACTCTGATTACTTTGAACAGTGACACACTGACAGTAAGATGGAGGAAACTCTTCCTCCATGTTGGTTCTCAGTTGACTGTTAGTAGAGTTTTCTGCTCTTTCTACTGAACTAAACTAACAAGATGAACAAACAGTGAAAAGTGTCTCTTACTAACCTTCACATGGACAGAAGAAGAAGCTGCGACACGACAAGTTCACAAAGTGAAAGTTACCTGTGGACAGGGAGTGGCTGTGATGTCACGGTTGTCAGGGCAACAGCAGGTGTGGGGGGGGGAAGGGAGTGAGTGTCTCCAGAGAGAGACTGGGAGCTTCAACTACATTGTGCTGATAATACTTCTGTAACTGAGGAACTGTTTTAATGCAGCACTTTAAGTTGTAATGGAGTATTTCTGTAGTGTAGTATTACTACTTTTACTATTCTCAGCTTTGAACTGTTGGTCAGACAACATTGTGTCACTGTGGGCTAATAATTAGTCACAGTCCTTCCTCAATAGTTGCAATCAGCTCCACCTGAGCAGCTACAATTCAATTCAATTCAATTCAATTTTATTTGTATAGCGCCAATTCATAACAGAAGTTATCTCAGGACACTTTTCAAATAGAGCAGGTCTAGACCGAACTCTTTATAACATTAATTACAGAGACCCAACAGTACCACCATGAGCAAGCACTTGGAGACAAGGGCAAGGAAACACTGCCTGTTAAAAGGCAGTAACCTAGGACAGATCCTCCGGCTCTAGGTGGGTGGTCGTCTGTCTCGACCAGTTGGGGTGAGAGAGAGAGAGAGAGAGAGAGAGAGAGAGAGAGAGAGAGAGAGAGAGAGAGAGCGAGAGACAGACAGACAGACAGGTGCACAGCAACAACAGTATTGGCAATGGCAGTCAAGCAGGACCATGGCAGGAGGCTCCACCAGGATCCATGAGAACCTGCGAGACGAGAAAGCACAAGAACTCCGGGGAAGAAGTGGAGTTAGTAACATGCATTAAAGGGACATGAATGAGTGCAGAAAGAGAGAGGAAGGGAGGAGCTCAGTGCACCATGGGAAATCCCCCGATAGTCTAGGCCTATAGCAGCATAACTAAGGGATGGTTCAGGACTCACCTGATCCAGCCCTAACTATAAGCTTTATCAAAGAGGAATGTCTTAAGCCTACTCTTGAATGTGGAGAGGGTGTCTGCCTCCCGAACCACAACTGGAAGCTGGTTCCACAGGAGAGGAGCTTGGTAACTGAAGGCTCTGGCTCCTGTTCTACTTTTAGAGACTATAGGAACCACAAGTAGCCCAGCATTCAGAGAACGTAGTGTTCTAGTGGGGTAATAGGGTACTATGAGCTCTTTAAGATATGAAGGGGCCTGACCATGAAGAGCTTTATAGGTGAGGAGGAGGATTTTAAATTCAATTCTACATTTTATAGGGAGCCAATGCAGAGTAGCTAGTACAGGAGAGATGTGATCTCTTTTTCTAGTTCCTGTCAGTACTCGTGCTGCAGCGTTCTGAATTAATTGGAGCGTTTTAATGGACTTATTGGGGCAACCTGATAATAAAGAGTTGCAGTAATCCAGCCTTGAAGTAACAAATGCATGGATTAGTTTTTCTGCATCTGTCTGTGATAGGATGTGTCTAATTTTTGTAATATTACGTAAATGAAAGAAGGCAGTCCTAGAGGTCTGCTTTATGTGGGAGTTAAATGACAAATCCTGATCAAAGATAACTCCAAGATTCCTGACAGTGGTGCTAGAGGCCAAGTTAATGCCATCTAGAGTGACTATATCTTTAGACAATGAGTCTCTAAGGTTTTTGGGGCCAAGAACAAGAATTTCGTTTTTTTCTGAGTTTAACATCAGAAAATTGCAGCTCATCCAGGATTTTATATCCTTAAGACATGTTTGTAATTTAGATAATTGATTAATTTCATTGGGTTTGATTGATAGATATAACTGCGTATCATCTGCATAACAGTGAAAGTTAATGGAGTGATTCCTAATAATGTTGCCTAAAGGGAGCATATATAAAGTAAATAGTATTGGTCCAAGTACAGAACCTTGTGGAACTCCATGACTAACTTTAGTATTTATGGAGGATTCATCGTTAACATGTACAAACTGAGAACGATCTGATAAGTATGACTTAAACCAGCTTAGGGCAGTTCCTTTAATGCCAATTTGATGCTCAAGTCTCTGTAAAAGAATATCATGGTCAATGGTGTCAAATGCAGCACTAAGATCTAATAATACAAGTACAGAGACAAGTCCATTGTCAGAAGCAGTCAGAAGGTCATTATTAACTTTAACCAGAGCTGTCTCTGTGCTATGATGAACTCTAAATCCTGACTGAAAATCCTCAAATAAACTATTGTTATGTAGAAAGTCACACAACTCTTTGGCGACTACTTTCTCCAGAATCTTAGAGAGGAAGGGGAGGTTAGAAATCGGTCTATAGTTGGCTAAAACCCCTGGGTCAAGAGTGGACTTTTTAAGAAGGGGTTTAATTACAGCTACTTTAAAGGACTGTGGTACATATCCTGACAATAAAGAAAGATTAATCATATCCAGTAGAGAACTGCCAATTAAGGGAACAACTTCTTTAAGCAGCCTAGTTGGGATCGGGTCTAATAGACAGGTTGATGGCTTCGATGAAGAAATGATTGAAGTTAACTGATGAAGATCGATAGCAGAAAAACAGTCTAAATATACATCTAAGTTTACATTGACAGAAGTCACTGAATTTGGAGAGCCACTGATAACTGTTGATGGCAGTTGGTGATTAATTTTTTCTCTAATAGTAATAATTTTATTATAGAAGAAGCTCATGAAGTCATTGCTACTTAAGTTTATGGGGATATGTGGCTCAATAGAGCTGTGACTCTCTGTCAGCCTGGCTACAGTGCTGAAGAGGAACCTAGGGTTATTCTTATTTTCTTCTATTAGTGCTGAGTAATAGGCTCCTCTGGCATTACGGAGGGCCTTTCTATAGGTTTTAAGATTATCTTGCCAAATTGAGCGATATTCTGATAATTTGGAAGAGCGCCATTTCCTTTCAGATTTTCTAGCTATTTGTTTTAACTGGCGGGTTTGGTGGTTATACCACGGTGCTAGTCTCCTATGTTTTAATAATTTCCTTTTTATAGGAGCGATAGAGTCTAATGTTGATTGTAGTGAGCCTGTAGCACTATCAACAAGATTATCAATTTCAGAGGGACTAAAGTTGTTATAGGACTCTGTTAAATTCAGACATGGCATTGAATTAAACACTGAAGGAATCTCCTCCTTAAATTTAGCTACAGCACTGTCAGATAGACATCTGCTGTAGGAAGTTTTGCCTAATGGCTTATAATCTAATAGTATGAATTCAAAAGTTACTAAATAATGGTCAGATAGGAAAGGATTATGTGGGAACACTATTAAATGTTCAATATCAATGCCATATGATAGAACAAGGTCAAGAGTGTGATTAAAACAATGAGTTGGTTTATTTACACTCTGACAGAAGCCAATTGAGTCTATTAATGATATAAATGCATTACTAAGGCTGTCATTGTTAACATCCACATGAATATTAAAATCACCTACAATAATTACTTTATCTGATTTAAGGACTAAACTTGATAGAAACTCTGAGAATTCAGATATAAAATCAGAGTACGGTCCAGGAGCGCGGTACACTATAACAAATAGAACTGGCTGCAGTGTTTTCCAGTTTGGGTGAGAAAGACTAAGAACAAGGCTTTCAAATGAATTATAATTTAGTTTAGGTTTAGGGTCCATTAAAACGCTCGAATCATATATGGCTGCCACTCCACCTCCTCGGCCTGTGCCTCGAGGAATGTGAGTATTAATATGACTGGGGGGGGTGGATTCATTTAGGCTAACATACTCCTCGTGGGACAACCAGGTCTCAGTAATATGATTTATCATTTGATTGTAAGGCACACAAATGCTGCTACATTATCTATAAACAAAACACTTGAAAAGAAAAAGACATAATACAAAAATAATTTCCTTTTTTACAATAATTAACTGACAGGGAAATACAATTACATAAGTGCAGCGCTCTGAGGCTGTGATTTCTTCCTCATCTGCCGCTCGATCATCAAGTCAAACTCTTGTCTTTCTCTGTTACTGATGCATCGTCCTTTCAGGTACTTTTCTACTGCCCTTTTCACTGAGACATTGTCCACCCCAGCTATGGCATAGATGATGGCCTCAGGAAGAAGCACATCCAGGACAAAGGGGACACGCTCCATGGATTTCACTTCAGTCAGGCAAGGGGCGGTGGCCACAGCCGTCGCGTAGAGCTCATTTAGGTACCAGTACACCTGGTCCAACTGCTGGTCGTCTTCCAGGTATATGTTCACCACCCGCCTCCGATTGGCACTTAGAAAGGAGCGCAGCCATCTGGACTGCTGCTGCCCATGGATCACAGCCAGAAGGCGTCTTTCAACCATGCGCTGCTTTACAATAAAATGTACAAGCTTCTCATTGGCGCGGTTGTGGGCAGCATGACTCCGGTCTGGCAGCAGCCTCTTTGAACTCCTGCTGACCTCCTCCTGCTGTTCCCTAAAGCTGTCCTCCTTATGATCGTCACACGGTGCTTCCATCATTGTATCGTTGGAGATGGTTAGCCTCTCTGACTCTCCCTCTGGGTACTTCCTCCTCACTGGATAGCTCATGTTATGGGCAAAGTACTCGATGAAGGAGCCAGAAAATGAGCCACATCCAATCCGTATACTGTAATCTTTAATGAGATCTAAGGACCACTCGATTGCAGCCTCATACTTTTCTTTGGCTTTGCACACCAGCTCATTTGCTTCTTTACAGTCAAAAGGCTTCAGTGATTTCAGAGCCACAGTAAACCCTTTCTTTTTGTGAATCATTGGGTCATCAATGAACATGATGCTGGCTTTTCTCTGCTTACGGTTCACACTTTTGACCAATGCTGGCCAGAACGGATAATTTCTAAATTTGTACCACACAACAGCCAAATACAGCAGTAATAATAATCTAATGATAGAATATAATATAGTGTAACAGCTGTAGTTCCTTACTCCCCCCAGGGTGTCCTGACTCCATCCTGTGTTCCTCTAATCCAAGTCTACAGGAGGACGGACTGGTCCCTGAGGCCTCTGGTTACTGGTTGAGGGTCAGTCCCCATACTGGGGTCAGAGGCTCGACCCTCCACCACAGGGAGCTTTAAACCTGCTGTGTCGTGCACAGAAATGAAAGGAAATTTGAAATCCATGCTGATGATGAAGATCATGTGATGCAACAGAAAGTTCCAGAACAGCTTATAAACTGATCGTTTCCAAGGTCAATAATAAACTGTCAATCTCAACTATTCACCATGGAAACAGTCAGGTTACTGTGGAGTATGTTTACGTTTACTTTGTATATAGGCTCTTATTACATTTCTATTGATTGTACTTATGTATGTAATCCATTACTCCCTGAGACTGTGCTTTGTAATACGGAGTAATGTTGACTGATTCTGTCCATATGTCCTCTCTTTCACATTAATATTATTTTATTGTTGTACTGAAGGATTTTAATAACTCTGATCTTATATTGTCGTACTCTGTAATATCTACAGATGTAACTCAGTAATGCAGATTAATGCACTGTCACTGTTAAATAAAGAGACTGAGAGAGAAACCACACATAAATCATTTTCATAACCAAAACTAAATTATTTCAGATTTTAAAACGATCCACAAACTGGTGAATACACAATCTGCACACTGACGATGGCTTTATTATATTTCTATATCCATATATATATATATATATATATATATATTTTAATATATTTCTTTATGTTAAGATGCAGAAAGCCACCAGTGTCTGTGTGTTGCTGTATTTGTGTTTATTTGGTTAACACAAGGAGCACAGTGTCAGATTATAATGTATAAATCTGTTTATATTGGCTCTGTGCTGGAGGCTTTATATATATTTGATCCTTATAAACACAGAAATAATAATAAGAAGTGTTAGAAGAGGATTTTAATACAAAGAGCACAAACGGTGGAGCCACAGTCTCAATAAAAATGGAGAGAGTTAGATAATGAAGTGTCCATGCAGTGTTTATAGAAAGTATTTGGGTTCAGTGGAAGTCCGTAGAACCGAACTCCGCCTGGTGGAGCAGCTGCTGGATCTTGGTTCTGACCAGCGACTGTTTCTGTGCGGGGAGCCTCCTCATGGCGGGCGCCAAGCTCAGTAAAAACAGCGTAACATCGTCTCTCTGATCCGCGTCCCGGTCCCTCTGAGCCTCCCGGGCCTCCATCCTCCTCAGGTACTCCTCCAGCAGGCCGTCGGCGCTCCTCCTCCGGGCCCGGGTCGGCCTGGCGGGACACTCCTCCTCGCCGTCGGCGTGCTCTTGCGGCTCCTCTCCGACGCCTTCCAGCTCCTCGGTTTTCAGCCTGGAGGCGGCGCTGGGCGGCTGCGGGCTGCGGCGGGTCAGCGGGTCGGGCTGAGGCTGATCCGGGGACTGCGAGGAAGAGTGCGAGGAAGCCAAGGACGTCGCCAGAGACGTCACCGACTGCATCATCATCTCAAACAGCTCCCTCATGTTGACGTGTTGCACTTGTTGCATTTGTGCGTCGTCGTCGTCCATCGCGGCGGTCTCCGACGTCTCCTCGATCTTCGCTTCTTTTAGTCTGACGGGGTCTCTGCCGGCCGACGACGGTCGCTTCCTCTGAACGAACTCTGAGGATGAGGACGATGAAGACGTTGTTGTTGTCGTAGCGATACCTACAAAGACAACGACAGTCAGGGTTCATCCCTCAGCTACAAGGAGTCCTTCCTGTGTGAGTCTGAAGATCTGTTCACACTACAGCACTCAGATCAGTGTGTGTCTGTTAGTTCTATTAATGACTCACTAGAGCAGACAGAAGATCTTGTAGTGTGTGAGACAGACAGTGTGAGACAGACAGTGTGAGCCCCTGTGAGACAGACAGTGTGAGACTGACAGTGTGAGACTGTGACACAGACAGTGTGAGACAGACAGTGTGAGACTGACAGTGTGAGACTGACAGTGTGAGCCCCTGTGAGACAGACAGTGTGAGACAGACAGTGTGAGACTGACAGTGTGAGACTGTGAGACAGACAGTGTGAGACAGACAGTGTGAGACTGTGAGACAGACAGTGTGAGACAGACAGTGTGAGCCACTGTGAGACAGACAGTGTGAGACAGACAGTGTGAGACTGACAGTGTGAGACAGACAGTGTGAGACAGACAGTGTGAGACTGTGAGACAGACAGTGTGAGACAGACAGTGTGAGACTGTGAGACAGACAGTGTGAGGTGAGACAGACAGTGTGAGGTGAGACAGACAGTGTGAGGTGAGACAGACAGTGTGAGGTGAGACAGACAGTAGGAGTCTCCCTCTACCAACCGTAGTTGTCGTCGTCGTCGCTCCGGGTTTCTGTGGTGGTGCTGCAGCCCATCATGTCTGAGACCTGCAGCAGGGAGGGCTGCGGGTCCAGGGAGGGCTGCGGGTCCAGGGAGGGCTGCGGGTCCAGGGAGGGCTGCGGGTCCAGGGAGGGCTGCGGGTCCAGGGCCCAGCCGTTGGTGCCGGCGGCCCTGGCGTCGATAAACGGGTTCAAAAAGGACAAAATGGCGGAATATCTCCAGGGCCGGTAGTTGAAGAGCCCGACGCCGCTCTCCCGCCGCTCTTTCTCCCGCTGCCGCTCCCTCCGGTGCTGGTCCCGCAGCATCTTCCACTTCCTCCTGCACTCAGACTCTAACAGGAAGAGACATTACCTAATGAGTGTGTATCCTTTATCTCCTTCCCCACTGCTCACCGCCCACGTTCATTAACCTCAGTGAGTTCTGCTGAATCAGGGAACTGACCCGGGTTGATGTCTGTGTCCTTACTGTCTCTGATTACACTTTAACCTCCATTTACTCCGACAGACACATTCCTTCAACAGAACATCGAATATTAATGTTTTTATCTTTAGATAAAGACGTTATTAATGTTTTTATCTTTAGATAAAGACGATTATTAATGTTTTTATCTTTAGATAAAGACGTTATTAATGTTTTTATCTTTAGATAAAGACGATTATTAATGTTTTTATCTTTAAAGACGATTATTAATGTTTTTATCTTTAAAGACGATTATTAATGTTTTTATCTTTAGATAAAGACGTTATTAATGTTTTTATCTTTAGATAAAGACGATTATTAATGTTTTTATCTTTATATAAAGACGATTATTAATGTTTTTATCTTTAGATAAAGACGATTATTAATGTTTTTATCTTTATATAAAGACGTTATTAATGTTTTTATCTTTAGATAAAGACGATTATTAATGTTTTTATCTTTAGATAAAGACGATTATTAATGTTTTTATCTTTAGATAAAGACGATTATTAATGTTTTTATCTTTATATAAAGACGTTATTAATGTTTTTATCTTTAGATAAAGACGATTATTAATGTTTTTATCTTTATATAAAGACGTTATTAATGTTTTTATCTTTAGATAAAGACGATTATTAATGTTTTTATCTTTATATAAAGACGTTATTAATGTTTTTATCTTTATATAAAGACGTTATTAATGTTTTTATCTTTATAGACGATTATTAATGTTTTTATCTTTAGATAAAGACGGTTATTAATGTTTTATCTTTAGATAAAGACGTTATTAATGTTTTATCTTTAGATAAAGACGATTATTAATGTTTTTATCTTTATATAAAGACGTTATTAATGTTTTTATCTTTAGATAAAGACGGTTATTAATGTTTTATCTTTAGATAAAGGCGTTATTAATGTTTTTATCTTTATATAAAGGCGTTATTAATGTTTTTATCTTTAGATAAAGATGATTATTAATGTTTTTATCTTTAGATAAAGACGTTATTAATGTTTTTATCTTTATATAAAGACGATTATTAATGTTTTTATCTTTAGATAAAGACGTTATTAATGTTTTTATCTTTAGATAAAGACGATTATTAATGTTTTTATCTTTATATAAAGACGTTATTAATGTTTTTATCTTTAGATAAAGACGATTATTAATGTTTTTATCTTTATATAAAGACGTTATTAATGTTTTTATCTTTAGATAAAGGCGTTATTAATGTTTTATCTTTAGATAAAGGCGGTTATTAATGTTTTATCTTTAGATAAAGGCGATTATTAATGTTTTTATCTTTAGATAAAGACGGTTATTAATGTTTTATCTTTAGATAAAGACGGTTATTAATGTTTTTATCTTTAGATAAAGACGATTATTAATGTTTTTATCTTTAGATAAAGACGTTATTAATGTTTTTATCTTTAGATAAAGACGGTTATTAATGTTTTTATCTTTAGATAAAGACGATTATTAATGTTTTATCTTTAGATAAAGACGGTTATTAATGTTTTTATCTTTAGATAAAGACGATTATTAATGTTTTATCTTTAGATAAAGACGTTATTAATGTTTTTATCTTTATAGACGATTATTAATGTTTTATCTTTAGATAAAGACGATTATTAATGTTTTTATCTTTATATAAAGACGGTTATTAATGTTTTTATCTTTAGATAAAGACGATTATTAATGTTTTTATCTTTAGATAAAGACGTTATTAATGTTTTTATCTTTATAGACGATTATTAATGTTTTTATCTTTAGATAAAGACGGTTATTAATGTTTTTATCTTTAGATAAAGACGATTATTAATGTTTTTATCTTTAGATAAAGACGTTATTAATGTTTTTATCTTTAGATAAAGACGGTTATTAATGTTTTTATCTTTAGATAAAGACGATTATTAATGTTTTATCTTTAGATAAAGACGGTTATTAATGTTTTATCTTTAGATAAAGACGATTATTAATGTTTTTATCTTTAGATAAAGACGTTATTAATGTTTTTATCTTTATAGACGATTATTAATGTTTTTATCTTTAGATAAAGACGATTATTAATGTTTTTATCTTTATATAAAGACGTTATTAATGTTTTTATCTTTAGATAAAGACGGTTATTAATGTTTTTATCTTTAGATAAAGACGATTATTAATGTTTTATCTTTAGATAAAGACGGTTATTAATGTTTTTATCTTTAGATAAAGACGATTATTAATGTTTTATCTTTAGATAAAGGCGTTATTAATGTTTTTATCTTTATAGCGATTATTAATGTTTTATCTTTAGATAAAGACGATTATTAATGTTTTTATCTTTATATAAAGACGTTATTAATGTTTTTATCTTTAGATAAAGACGGTTATTAATGTTTTATCTTTAGATAAAGACGTTATTAATGTTTTATCTTTAGATAAAGACGGTTATTAATGTTTTTATCTTTAGATAAAGACGATTATTAATGTTTTTATCTTTATTATTAAACATCTGAAAATTCTTCTTCAGGGGTTGAAGAACGTTTCCTCACATACTCGAGTACTTTCACTCCGACAGCTCACAGGGAAACACTTTATTCTTCTTTTATAGTTGTTATAGATGTTAACTACAGAATGAGGACAGTTCATCATAAATACATTAAACTACCGACCTGAGTTGGAATCAGTAAATACTGATTACCCCTGAACGCATCAGTAATAACATCCAATAATACTACCTGCAGCAGACAGACTCTCCTATATCTGACTGATAATACCTATCTGCACTGAAGTAACGGGTTCAACACGTTACTTTACTCCAGTAAAGTATCCGAGTACCGGATTCAGCCCTTCAGGAGGAACCAATGTGCGTCGGGTGGAGATATAAGGGTAGTCGGACGGTATTGAGAGACGGAGCTGTATTGTTCTGATCTTCTCCAGAAGGAATCTGTTGATATTGATCGATATATTGATCGATATATTGATCGATATATTAAAGTTACTTTAGGGTTTAATGAATTAGCTTCATTCAGTGACACATTAAACAGTGTCCGGCCTCCAGTAGGAACCAATGTCTGTCTGTGTCACAGATATAAAGGTAGTCGGACGGTATTAACGGTTAACGGAGCCCCGGAGGAAGTGTCCGGGCTCCGGGCTCCGGGCTCCGGGGCTCACCGGGGACACCGACGCTCTCTGCGACCCGCCTCCAGGCGTCGCTCCTCATGTTGAGGTCCCGGTAGGTGAGGGAGGTGGTGTCGTACAGACTCGGGAATCCGGACACCGCCATTATCAGCTTGTACTCCATCTTGTTACAAACTGCTGCTTCTTCTTCTTCTTCTTCCGACAACAGCGCACTTCCGTTTCCGGTCAGACTCTAACACCACTCCTATTGGTTGTCGCCGTGAGCTCATTTGCATAAAGTGTATTTAATACTTTAATACAATGTTTACATTTTATACTTTTTATACTTTTATTTCACTACATTAACTTCAGTTGCTCAAAGTAAATAATAATAATAATACAATATAGAAATATATAATAAAATCTAAAGTATATACATTATAATACAATATATAGATATAGAAATATATGTATGCTGCAGTCAATGACAGATAAAGTGTAATGAATAATAAATAAATAATAATAATAGCTGAATCCTTAAAAAGAGTAATTGCACATTAATTACAGTGTTATGATGTATTATAACATTATTATTTATTATTATATTATTACATTATGATATATTATTAAATTAATATATTATTACATTATGATATTATTACATTATTGAATTATGATATATTATAACATTATTATTTATTATTACATTATTATATATTATAACAGAGGCAGAGCGGGTTGTCCCCTAATCGGAAGGTTGTTGGTTTGATCCCCGGCTCCTCCTGCCACATGTCGAAGTATCCTTGAACCCCGAATTGCTCCTGATGCTGTGCACGGTGTGTGAATGTGTGTGAATGAGTTAGTTTCTGTTCGATGGACTTTGCCATCACTGAGTGAATGTGTGTGAAAGGGTGAATGTGTCTGTAGTGTAAACTCTGAGTGGTCGGAAGACTAGAAAGTACAGGTCCATTTACTATTTACCATATATTATTACATTCTGATTTATTATTACATTATATATAAAATGTAATGAGTCATTCTGCATGAAGAACACTTTTACTTTGTATTATTGGAATCACAGAAGCTGCAGATTAAAATTTTAGATTTAGATATTTAGATATAATGAGGTTCTGTAGTTATCCCCACTAATGTTGTTCTCCAGGTGACTGAAGACCCAAAAAATGTCCCATCATCATGAATTGAAATGAGACCTCAACTATCCAGCTGTTAGAGTGGGGGGACCACTTCCTGTCAAACAGCTCAGATCAAACAGCTGCTGACCTGGAGCCAGTCTCACTCTGCCTGTAGAGGGCGACGTCGCTCCTGAACTCAACAGCATGATGGAGCAATCATCGTTTATAAGCATCATCATCATCATCATCATCATCATATATGAGACAACCTGTGTGAATGTAAAACACGTTATTAGTAATAATCCAGCAGCTGGGCAACAAAAGAATAAAGTAAACAGAAAATGATTGTTATTATTTTAATGTGAATGTTAAAAGTTATAGAACTGTAATAAAAGTCATTATCTGTGTAATTATTGCTGTTTACACTGATAACAACTGTATTTGGACAGTTTACTAATGCTTATACACTGATACACAACATTTATTCTACTTCCGTCATTATACGATAATATATATATATATATATATTATAATAATAATATATAAGATATCTGTCAGTTAACTAACACATTAAAATTACACAGCTAATACTTTTTACTGTTAATGTCACTGATTTTATATCATTTTGAATTTAACAGTTTAATCTATTAAATAAACAGTAAATATCTGCAAAACAAAAAAATTTATAAATGTATTTTAATCTTTTTTAAATTGTTTAAAATGTTCTCTACAATAATTAATTTTATGATTATTTACATTTACAGATTGTTCACATTATTTTACATTAGATGTAAATTCACAGGATATGTTTGTAATTTTATTAATATTTCCATATATTTTAAAAATACAGAAAACATCCGTAAAATAAACGATAAAAACCTGTAAACATACAGATTTTACAGGACCTGTTTTAAAGCTGCAGTAGGTCATTTTATGAAATAATTTTTTGTAATATTTAATGAAACTTTCACTTTATTTAGAATTATTATTATTTAGAATTTCCCTATTGTGGGACAAATAAAGGAATATCTTATCCTGACAGTAAAACATGAGACAGATAATGTGTGAACACATCAGGTTTCCTTCTCGTGCTGCTAATGAATATAAACAACCAATCAGAGTGTAGTAAGATAATTGATTGTTGACTCAGCATTGATATTCTCATAAAAGGCTTATTAGTGACGGGTGCTGTGAATTAGCATCCACTATAAACACCATGATAGTAGCCTCAGATAGTCTATGGTCACTGGATCTGTCTTTATTAAATAAACTCTAAATAATCATAAAATAAAACTAATGTAATAGTTTCAGAGGTAGTTTCTCACGAGGAGTTCCAACTTTGAACCGACAGAAAAGTGCAAAATGTGCGTCTGATTTCCCCCCATAACACACAGAGACACACCGATGTACATGCAACAAGTTGGGGAAATCCCCGTCAGTTTCCCAGACTGTTTACGAGCCTAAATAAAGCAGCACAGGGGGTCAGAGGTCACCGAGCCTAAAAATAAAGCCCCCAGAGGTCGTAGGGTTGAACTGTGCAGCGGCAGGAAATCCTAAAACCACACAAAGTGCAGAGGAACGTGGATGTAAGGCGGACTCCACCACGACTCTCTTATTATAGAGATTATAATGGAAACATATTATATATATTATTATATCTTTATTATAGAGATTATAATGGAAACATATTATATATATTATTATATCTTTATTATAGAGATTATAATGGAAACATATTATATA